CAGTACAGACGGAACTTTGAACGTTAATAACTTTTTAACGAAGCCTCCATCAACAAATTGGTATTCTTGATTTTCGTCTTATTTTGGCCTCTAGAATCGCTTATCAAAAATTTTCCCAGGGTTGGCCGAACACCCTGTATACTAATAACGCAATATATGTATTACTAAACACTTTATGTGAGTGCATTAGGAACAGACTTTATATACAGGCTGCATTCTATGACGTACCGAGACTTATAGTTGAAGTTCGAAATAAGTTGTGAGTGCAAGAAGCGACGCATTACCTATTAAATACCATTTATTGAATTTTGAGAGCGACTGTCAACAAATGTAGCGAACACCTTGCGTGTTTTATTTAGTGGATGTACGCAAAAATATATTACACATATTTCGTACACAGTAGTTTGCAGAACAAAATGCGCGGAGTATGCAGTCTGCACTCTACATATTATGCATATTCCGATGGCATTTCGTTGCGATTTATGTGACTCGTCGTATACAGATGCGCGTACCGATGTTCGTTCTCGAAAGGCAATGAAATATATTTCACGAATACTAGTCAAAAGAGAACGAAACGTTATTCAAATGTTTTAAAAGCTCAAATTTCATACGCTGTAACGCCACCGACTTTGTCGATCAAAATTTAAATAAAACGTGAATCTAATGATTTTTTATTCTTCATCCGTTTCTGAAAGCTCCGCTAAAATTAATGTGTAACAGTTTGAACGGTTCTTTTATCAGTAATTATGCAAAATGTAAATACTAGTCGAAAGGGAACGAAACGTTATTCAAATATTTTAAAAGCTCAAACTTCATACGCTGTAACGCCACCGACTTTGTCGATTAAATTTTAAATAAAACGTGAATCTAATGATTTTTGATTCTTCATCCGTTTCTGAAAGTTTCGCTAAAATTAATGTGTAACAGTTTGTACTCATGTAATAAGTAAATTTCAGGTACTTGGTACGAATTCTCAAATACGTTTGAACGAGTACTCGATACCAATATAATTATCTATTGCAAATGTATTAAATGCAAGAATAATTTTGCAAAAGCATTGGAACGATGTTTGGTACTTGTAAATTGTCGTGTATAGTGTTTTCGTATACTGTTTCTTATTATACTGCAGTCGCCAATAACTTTCGATGATCAACGCGACGTCGAACGTTGTTTGGAAAGAAGGAAAAGAAATCGAACTTTCAAAGAATTACAGAATGTAATCGACGGTATCGATGGCAGCTCCCCGTCGCTACTTCTCAGAGTAAATTTCACGCGTCTATTTTTCTTAAGCTCCGCTCTACTCGTCAGAGTAAATTTCACGGCCGTCTACTTTTTCACGAGCTTCGCCACTCGTCGGAGTAAATTTCGCGCCGTCTAATTTTCATCGGCGTCGCTGCTTTGCCCGGGCGTTAATTTTCGCGAGTCTATTTTTCTTTGAACGTTGAAAGGATACACGACGTCCCGGCGCGCCCAATTGCTCTCGCGCGACAACGCGAAGAAATAGCGCGTTCGTAGTATAAATAAAAAAAAAAAAAAAAAAAAGAGGAAAAAAGAAAAGAGAAACAATAGAGACCCGCGGAACGTTTGAAATTTACGCGAGGCGAATTCTTATTCCGATCGTTTCCACGTTTAAATGACATCAGAAATTCAAATGGAGCCACGTTCCGTGGCTGGTACGTGTGTTAAGCTCGTCGCGTCCATTTTTCTGGAATTTTAAAACGATCCTCGTCGCGGCTCGATCGACGCTCCCGACGTTTCCGCGCGCGTACGCGGGCTTAACGAGGGACGCGTTTTACGGAAACCCTCCAAGCCCGCGTACGGACTACGTTTTATCCAATTAACGTCCTCCTCCGGTGGCTAAGAAGACGAAGAAAGGGAAAAGAGGCCGCTCGAAATGCCGTGAAATTAGGAGGAACGTCCACGTTCGCGAGACGGAAACGGCGCCTCGGATGCGTCGAGCAGAGTTGGGCGAAATTTTATACGCCCCCGAACAGAACAACCAGTAAAACAGACTCAGAATTCTCAAAGTTTGTCGAATGCAAGATAAACGATACTACACTATTATTGAAATTGCAATTCATAATTTTCAAATCGACCGCCATGTTGCGAGGTCACTTTGGACGAAACGGCGCCAAAATTAAAACTGAACATTGAAAATGTACACGGGGTGTTCGGCCATCCCTGGGAAAAATTTTAATGGGGGATAAGACGAAAATCAAGAATATCAATTCCTTGGCGGAGGCTTCATTAAAAAATTAAATTAAAAAATTTCAAATCATTTTGAAAAAATTATTTTTGGTTGCGGGATTCAATTACAATCATTTTTGGTGAATACATATACCCCCGAAATCCTACCTACTTTCGAGGAAAAAATTCGAGTAGGTACTGAAATTTTTAGACGAAATTAAAAAATTTCAAATCATAATAAAAAAATTATATTTAGTTACAGGGGTCAATTATAAGCATTTTTGGTGAATAGATATACTATCAAATTTCTACGTGCTTTCTAGAAAAAAATTCCTTACCGAAAATATAATTTCTGGCCAGAAAAGTCCGCCCCAATTTTCATGTAAGTCTTCAAAACTTCATAACTTCTGAACGGATTGAAGGATTTTAATGTTTCGAAAGGCAAACGACGCGTATTTTGATGGAGAATACTACCTTGATCAAAAAGTTTTAGGACTTTATTTATAAAATCGAAAATACAAGTTTATTCGTCCAAATCGATATGGTCCCCTTCAAAGTACTCCCCATCGACTGCAATGCACTTGCGCCAACGCTTTATCCAATCCTCGAAACACCGCTGGTACTCAATTTTCGGTATGTCCATCAGAGCCGTCTTCGATTTTGTCATGACCTCATCTCGGGTACTGTAACGCGTTCCGCGAAGCGGTTTTTTAAGTCGGTTGAACAGGAAAAAGTCGCAGGGAGCCAGATCTGGTGAATTTGAAGGCTGCTGGATAGTATTCGTGTTGTTTTTGGTCAAAAACTCACGGATAAGGATCGCATTGTGCGCCGGTGCGTTATCGTGGTGCAAAATCCACGAGTTGTTTGCCCACAAATTCGGTCTTTTTTGACGAATTGCTTCGCGCAAACGTCTCATAACGCCCAAATAATATTCTTTGTTGACTCCCTGTTTTTCTGGCAAGAATTCTTGATGCACAACACCATAGTAATCCATGAAAATCGTGAGCATCGCCTTCTTTCTTGATTGAAAACGACGTGGTTTTTTCGGTCTCGGCTCTTTCGGTGCACGCCATTCACTCGCTTGATGTCTGGATTGTGTATCATATTCATAAATCCACGTCTCGTCTCCAGTGATGATACGTTTAATAAATGTTAGGTCGGATTCGGCCTTGGAAATCATGCCTTTCGCGATTTCAACGCGGTCCTTTCTTTGCATGAAATTGAGGTCTTTCGGCACCAGTTTTGCAGCGACACGTCTGAGGCCCAAATCACTAACCAAAACGTCTTGAACGGATCCATAAGCGATGTTCAAGTCCTCTGCCAGCTCTCTGATGGTCAATTTGCGGTTTTCGGACAACATTTCTCTAATTTTATCGATGTTTTCATCGGTTTTCGACGTCGACGGCCTGCCACTGCGTTTGTCATCCTCGACCGACTCACGACCACTTCTGAAGCGTTCGTGCCATCGAAAAACGTTTGATCTCGAAAGAGTATCGTTGCCAAAACACTTCTCCAACATATCTAAGGTCTGCGGGCCGTTAAATCCGTTTTTTACACAAAATTTAATGCAAACTCGTTGATGCTCAAATGATGCCATTTTAAAATCGAAAACACGAACAAAGGAGATGTACTCAGCACAGCGTAACTTTTACAAATATCAAGCTATGACGCTGAAATTGGAAGGAAGTGTTAATGATAGATATGGTAACCTAACAGCAATCGGGTGATTGACAGCGACACACGGTGGACAGTCCTAGAACTTTTTGATCAAGGTAGTATGTAGAAATTCTGACAATACTGAAAAACTTGTTCCTTGACCCGCGTAAAGTGAAAAAACCCCCATAAAAATAGTTCGATTTTCAAACAGCCATAACTCCTACGATACTGAATATATTTAATTGAAACTTTTTTTTTGAAATAGAGCTCGTAGGTACCTACATAAAAGTATTAGACAACTTTTCTGCAGGGCGTCAAATAAAATGATTAAAAATGAAAAACGAATTTTTAAGAAAAATGTAGTCTAAATTTTTCGTCGCAAAAAAATTTGTTGAAAACGTTCTAAAAAAATTATTTACGGTTCCGGGGGTCAATTACAAGCTTTTTTGGTAAATAGACATACCCCCGAAATCCTACGCACTTTTGAGAAAAAAATTCGCATAGGTGTTGAAATTTTTAGGTGAAAAAAAAAGAATTTCGAATCGTCTTCGAAAAATTATTTTTAGTTACAGGGGTTAATTACAAGCATTTCTGGTAAATAGACATACCCCCGAAATCCTACGCAGTTTCGAGAAAAAAATTCAAGTAAGTGCTGAAGGTTTTGGGTGAAAAAAAAAGAATTTCGAATTGACTTGGAAAAATTATTTTTAGTTGCAGGGGTCAATTACAAGCATATTTGGTAAATAGACATACCCCCAAAAACCTACGCATTTGTGAGAAAAAAATTCGTGTAGGTGGACAAGTTTTGTTAATAACTTGTTAACGAAGCCTCCATCAACAAATTAGTATTCTTGATTTTCATCTTATTTTGGCCTCTAGAATCTCCCATTAAAATTTTTTCCACGGATGGCCGAACACCCTGTATATTTTTATATATTCGTGCGTGATGCATTTTTAAATTGTTATCTGGGTAGTTATTTCGCCCATCCCTGACGTTGAGCAAGATTTATGCGAGCGCGTACGCGTCGTGGTGTATAGTATTCCAGATGTGACGCGAATGTAACGTTGATGTGAAGAACGAAAAAAAAAATAAAGAAAAATAGATAAATGAGAAATGAAGAGATAGAAAAGGGTAAGAAACAAGGGAGGAAACTCACCGAGCGTCGGCGTCGTGTAGTCCCAGCTTTCTGCGTCGTTCTTGTAAACGTTCAGCTTTGTAGGCTGGAAAAAGAACAGAAAGATCAATTTATTTCGGCAGGACAAAGGACCTAATTAAAATCATCGTTTCACGTCCAGTATAAACGAAACGAAAATTATAAATGACTATTATTCAAAATATAGGTCACATTTATATTATCGATATTTTTGATACCTCCAAAAATGTATTATCGAATGTTCTAAAATTTTATAAACATGTAGGTATTTTTCTAATCTGGAGAATAGACTTTATATCGAGCTTAACCAAACTTGAAGCGTTCCTATATAAATTTTATTAAAATGTACGAAGTTCTTTGATTTTTCTTACATTAAAAATGTATTTACGTTACGTGTTACTTTGACAATATTAATCAAAACATTAATTTAAAAGAAACTACACAAATAAATTATTGAAATTAACTACGTATAAAAACTACTTATATAGTACATTTTTCTTTATGCCCTGTTTATATTTTTTATTATTTGTTTATTATACTATTTCCGAAGAAAAGTAAAATAAAAAGATTGAAATTTGTTTAGACGAAGTGGTTTATACATTAATAAAACTACAGGTACAATATGATAACATAATAATACATTAACTCCCAAGAAAGTGCAACTAACAAGTAAATAAAAGTATTAAAAAGAAAACAGAATCTGTCAAAAATGTCATTTAAATAATTTCGATCTCACTTAATAGAAGAAAAAAGTTGAATATACAGAATTTTCTACTATAATTTATATATATTTACATTCAATAACCTAACAAACATTGAAATAACAAATACCATATGTGCCTATTTAAAATTGATGTCTAGGCTTAGTTACAACTGAAATTTAGTATCTAGTATTTGTTATAACCTTTAAACTTTATAAATCTGTTCGACAGTTATATGTGCAAATCCACGTACACGAAACGAAAAATATTGGACCGTGAAACGGCAAAATTTTTTTTTATTGCATCGTACCAGACAGCGCAACAGTATTTTCCAACTGTGTATTTGTTCACAAGTTTCGACTCTCTGACATTTTTTTAACAATAAACGTAGATCAATAAAACGAAAGCTGTAATCGTGAAACGATCGCGAAAAGCGTAGTCGAAATCGATCCGTGAAAATTTCATAAAAATTCACAAATAATATTCGCGATTAGAATTACGCAAGCCTCCTTCATAATTATAAATAGCAAAAGTATTCTGTGTTTAGACGAGCTATTTGTAATTGTTTCTATATTTCTGAAAGGTTCAGTTGCGACTCTTGCTCTAATAAAGCCAACAATGAATTCCATCGATAGGGAAATAGATTGACCTTATGCTGGCTGTCATTTAAAATTAGCTATGTATGTCATTTAGAGTTTTCCGTTCGCTTGTAAGCATCGACAAAGGCTATTGTGCATCAACCATTGAATTATTTCCGCGTTTCGATATGATTTCTATATTAACGCTCGCCTAGGATTAGCCTAAACCGAAATAGTAATAATTCCAGGTCGAACGTCGTTGAAATTTAACACATTGTATGTAGTCCCTATCGACGATCGTGTATAGAATTATTAGCACGAGAATTCAACGTGTACAGTCTATTTACCCGTGCTCTAAATTCTCGATTAGCCACAATCGTAAACTTCATAGCGTTTATTATCACATTTTTGCGAATATTAAGTCGAAAATAAACATTCAAATTATCAAGTTATAGGTATTTTTCTGCTTGCTTAGCCTCGATCCTTTTCAGTTTTGGACACAATTAACCTCTTCGATGCTAGTTTGGGGAAAATCTCAAATTTTTCTAAGCCCATGGACTTTCTAGATTTGTTTTATTTCATATTAATTCATTTTTTAACGCCAAAAACGATATATTTTTCATATGTTATTTTTGGTAAATTTTTTTTATGTCTAAAATATAGTGTATGAAAGGATGCTGAGTAATGTATCTTGCAAAGTGCACATAAAATCCGTTAAAAGGTTTGTTATCGTTTAGTTGACAAGTGTTTCGTACAGAAATTACCCAGGGAAAAGTATAAAAAGCAATTCGTTAATTAAGTAACAAAGTACATCTGCTCGATTATATACGCAACCATAAAGCTAATTGTACAGATTAAAATATTTATAATTCCAATGGGACAAGCTGCAGCTTGTCCAACTCGACCATCCACGATGCATTTTATTTATTATATTCGTATTTTCTCTATGTGACGTTTATTCGATACTGCAAAGCAAATTCGAGTGATTGGATGTGCTTCATGAAAAATGATGCATTTTTATTATTCTTCAGATTCTCTGATTTAGAATTACTTTATTATTCATATTTATTTTAACAGTGTCCTTAAAATATCACAAATTGTCAGATGTCAATTTTTATGAATATTAACAAAATCTGAAAACTATGTGTACTTCGTTGATGTTATTTTTCGACTTTAAGGGGCTATACCAGTGTAGTACATTTGAAAAATGGATTTTTTTTTTTTTTGAATTTTTTCAAAGTTTATACTCTCTAGAATGTCGTATTAAAATTCCAAGGTCGAATCTCAAATAGTTTAAAAATGGCAGCCTTCTAAAGAGTAGTTGCTGGCGTATCAGAAACGCGCTTATCGTCGCGAGAAAGAAACTTAGTCAACGCGTATTTACGAGGACTGTATACGTTTAGATTGTCATTATCTCCCTTGTTTAGTTCACTTGTAGCCACACCAGAAACCATATTGCAGCGTACTTATATCTCGTTTCGGCGTTACAACTCTTGCAGGTAAATACTGCAAAAAGATTATTGATACAGTTGTGAAATCATCCTACTGTAAGAGTTGTGAAGTATGGAAGAAGAAAAAAGAAAATAATCCCGAAGAATACGAAGAATGGCTCGCAGAGCACAATAATTGTGATCTAAATCACTCAGGGTCAGCTGCAAAAATGGAGGTTGATAGCGTAAAAGAAATGTTCAATCACTCGATTGATAAATATGGAATACAATATACGCGGTATATTGGCGATGGCGATAGTGCCACGTATAAAGGCATATTAAATTTAGACCCATACGATATCCCAGTGGAAAAACTAGAGTGCTACTTACACGTACGCTCCCGTCCATAAGTCACCGGACACTTACTCGTTTTCAGCAAAAGAATGATTAAAACACAGATACAACTCTCTAGCTTGATTTTATTGTTAATCTTGTAATATTTAGGTATTTTACGATAAAGAAGTAGTGGAGAAATGTCAAATATCTTACCGAAATGTCTTATATTTTCTTTTCGTCAATATATCCGCCGCGTGCGGCTATCACTGCTTGGACTAGTCGTGGCATCCTGTCGAGTAATTTTTTTAATTTTTCTGGATTTATTGTTGTCCAACTTTTTTGTAATAGTTCCCATAAATGCTTTTTTGATTTTGGACACACTTTGCGTACGTTTCTGTCTATTTCTTCCCATAATTTCTCTATTGGATTAAGATCGGGTGATTGCGGAGGCCATACCATAATTTTCAATTCATGATTATTTTCTAGGTCTTTTAAATAATTTGCACAAATTTTTGCGGTGTGTTTGGGATCATTGTCCTGCATAAATATAAAGTTTCGTCCTATTAAGCGTTTTCCAGACGGCACTGCATGGTCATGTAAAATTTGCAAATATTGTTCTTTCTTTAATATTCCCTCGATTTGCACTAAATCGCCAGTTTGATTTGCCCCAAAACAACCCCATACCATTACAGACTGACCCCCATGCTTAACGGTTGGTACAATACAATCGGGAATTAATTTTTCACTTTGTTTCCTACGCACATGGATTCGTCGTTTTGTACCAAACACCTCAAACTTCGACTCATCGGTCCACAACACCTTTTCCCAATCTTCAGCAGTGTAATCTTTATGTAATTTTGCCCACTGCAGCCTTTTTCTCTTATTTTGAGTCCTTAATAACGGTTTTTTAACTGCAACACACCCGCGAAGCCCTGCTTGCAAAAGACGCCGCTTAACTGTTGTCGTACCAATTGGATCCTCTCGATCTTTGTTAACTTCTGCCGCAATTTCTGTTGATGTCATCCTCCTGTTTCGTTTACTTAACGTTTGTATATAGCGGTCTTCATTTTCTGTTGTTTTTTTGGGCCGTCCAGTTCGTTTTTTATATTCAAAAGTATTAGTCTCTGTTAATTTTTTCACTGTATCATGCACTGTTGATTTCGGAATTTTAGTTTTTATTGCAATTTCCCGCACAGAATAGCCTTCTTTAGCAAGAGTAATAATACTCGAACGCTTTTGAATGGATAATTCTTTTCTAGAACTGCTCATACTGATCACATGCACTGTCAAACTTGAAATGAAGAAGAAACAGCGACTTCGCCTTCGCAGCTCCATGCTTATCTCTGTTTAGTCTAGAACTCCTCTCAAAGTGTTTATAAACTCTTTACAATGTTCCCAATATAGTCCTTTGATGGTTTTGAACGTCCAAAGCGAACAATTTATCCCAACATGTACCGAATGGAAATGTAACGAAATAAGTGTTTATGCATGCAGTTCCTTTTTTAAACTTTTATTTAAATAACTAATATTTATTTTTATTTTTATATACCGAAATTATCGTAAAATACCTAAATATTACAAGATTAACAATAAAATCAAGCTAGAGAGTTATATCTGTGTTTTAATCATTCTTTTGCTGAAAACGAGTAAGTGTCCGGTGACTTATGGACGGGAGTGTACAAAAAAGAATGGGAACGCGATGCCGCAATTTAAAAAAGCAAACCAAGGGCTTAGGAGGAAAAAGTAAGAGTACGGTGAAACTAACCGAAAAATTAATTAATAAATTACAAAAATACTATGGATTGGCGATTACCAGACACCAAGATAATGTTGACGAAATGTATAAGGAAATTTGGGCCACATTTTTTCATTTGTGTTCGACTGACAAGAATCCAAACCATGGAAACTGCCCAGCAGGCGCGGAGAGCTGGTGCACATATCGCAGAGCAGAGGCTCAAGGATTAGACATGTCGATATTCCAACACAACTATCGTCCTTTAGACCCACAGGTTGAAGAAGCTCTGAAGCCAATTTATACGGACCTAAGTAGACGTGATTTATTAGACAGGTGCAAGGGTCGAAACACCCAAAATAACAATGAAAGTTACAATGCCTTGCTTTGGCACTTTGCTCCAAAGCACCTCCACAATGGTTTAAAAACCATTGAACTTGCCAATTTTCTGGCTGTTGGAATCTTTAATGATGGTTTTCAATCTATATTGAAAATTTTACAAATAATGAAAGTTATTATTGGTCCCATTGCAAAGGAGTATGCCGACAAGAGAGATAGGAATAGAATTTACCGAGCGCAGTTACGACATCAGGCTGCTTCAAAAGAGAGTCGAGCAGCTCGAAGGAAAGCTACAGCGGCCCAGCAGGTACTGTTTGAGGAAGTGGGTTCATTATATGGATACGGAATAGCAGATTAACTTTTACTATGGTAAATATCGTTTTGTCACAATGAAATCAGTAACTTTAACTTTATACGCGTTTTTCTCCAAACGGTATATTTCAAATTTGCTGCAGCTCTAACTTGAATACAAATTATTGTATCGACTCGAAACTTTTTGCAGTGTATTCAGTATATGTTTTGTCATACCATGAACTAGGATTTTTTTGATTGGATGAAAAATATCAATTTGGCATTAAAAAAACCATTATTTTTTTAGGTTAAATTCACAATTTTTTTTAAAACTTCGCCAATTTGTCAAATTTTGATATTTTTCAAAAATCCTAGTTCATGGTACGGAGAATACTTTCTAGTTTAACAGCGTTTTTGTTATTTTTCATTTTAGTCACTCAGGCGGCGGCAATCACTGTAGCTGCGGAGCTACTTTTTTTTTTGAACCTCTGGGAGATAGCGCACAAGTCGCTTGTTTTTTATTATTTTTGTACCAAAAAATTATTCTAAATATTTGATTTGTTACTAAACACATACCTAAAGTTTAAAAACATTGACTGTAATATTTCTTTTAAAAAAAATTCCCGAAAATCATCTAATTTTAGAGCGATCACACTGGTATAGCCCCTTAAGGGAGGGATTTAAACCATCCCTCATCAAGCCACTTATTTTATTTACATTTGTATCATTCTTCAATTTTAGATAATATTGAAAATTATTTCGAGTAAAAGTAGTAGAGGCTCGTAAATCAATAAGAAAATAAACAAAAATTATTATATTAATAGTCGAACCAACGAAGATCAAAAATTTCGATTATTTGAAATCTTCTCTTAATTTCTCGAGTCTCGACAAATGTGCAGAGGTTTTGAATTTTGTAAAGCAGCTTAACATTTTTACCACGACAAAGTTACATAGTCACTTTCGAATTTCCGTTTTCTTATTGATCCCTCGTTCCGTTTGCATTCCCATTCATAACTGATGAACCGCGATCGGGAAATCGAAGTCGTAATAATTATAGATCGAACGTCATCGACGTTTAACATATTCTACGCAGTTCCCATTCGACGATCGTGCACGGAATTATTAACACGGCTATTTAACGTGCACGGTCTACTTGCTCTTTCCATAAATCCCTCGTTTAGCTATGCGTGCTATGTTGCAAAATAAATTATACAAATACGCCAGTCATCGTAGCACGATTCGAATCCCAGAAACGTCGCTGTTCGCATGCTCCTGCCAGTCGTACGACGAACGTTTTAATAGTAAAGCAATTATTAAACTGTTTATTCGGCGCATCCTGAGATCCTCCGGTATCATTTCGCGAGCGCTCCATTAAATTTCAATCGACCCAACGGCGTTATTATACGTCACTCTCGGGCCCCTTTGACGCGATTACGCACTCCGTATCGCGAGGTTTCGTAAGTTTTGTTTTTCGTTTTCCCTCGTTCCATCCACGACGAACACAGGCGGTCTCTTTGTTCTTCGGGGGAGAAATTTAATTCTTCGGGCGGAGCTCGACGAAGCTCCTCTGGAATAATCTCCGGAGCTTCCCACAGAGTGCACACTTTTTTTCGTCTCTTTCGAACAACGAGGAAACTTTACTTTCATCAACCGATCGCGTTCGCAATCCCCGATCTCTCCGCGTTGAAAACGAAAATCCCTCTTTTTACGCACTTGTCGTGATTCTGCGTTCCCATGGCGACCGAAGCGAAAAATTGTCGGTCGCTTTTGTTGCTCGAACGTTCCTCGCGAAATCCAATACGCGGATGAAACGTTCCGTCTTCCGGAAATTAATCAAACGAAACGTTTCTGCCTTTGAGTTTTTTATTTTTGCTTGAAAGTGCTGTTAACTACCTTGTTAGTGTATCCTTTGAAAAACGTTATAAGGGAAAATATTATGTAATATAATGAACAGTTTTATTTTAGCTTATTTAAATATAACAAATAATTGTGTATTTTTTATTTTAAATTAAACTTAAATTTAATCGAAATATTTTCATCTGTATATTTTGTCGTATAATGATTTTCGTGTAATTATCCTTGCAAACCACTGTTATTTTTTCCTATTCAGAAGTCTTTCTTTTACCTTCCTTTTGTATCAGAGGTTACACACACTCAAATTTCTTGTCCCATAAAAAATGAAGGGGTTAATCCAACTCGATGGTGAGAAAACCAGCGAGTCTTTACGAATTTTTTATAACGATACTATACGTCCGACTGAAATGGATTTTTTACTACTAATAAAGTCTATCATAAACTTCGAAATGAAACCTTTTACGCGCACATTGGAACAAACAAACAATGGCGTTAGTTTTGTTTACGGTTTACCGCTCTAACTATAAGTTAGGTGCTCAGAGGCCAAATAAATTAATTTTTTTATCCGAATGAAGCAATATAAAAATATTTAATCTAAAATGTTAGAATTTCAATTTAAGCAAACAGTTTAAATCGTTCAATTAAATTGATATGTGAGAAACTAAAATCCATATTATTTAAAAGATGATGAATATACAGGGTGTTCGACCACCCCTGGGAAAAATTTTAATGGGTGATTCTAGAGGCCAAAATAAGACGAAAATCAAGAATACCAATTTGTTGATGGAGGCTCCGTTAAAAAGTTATTAACAATTAAATTCAAAAATTTCAAATCGTTTTGGAAAAATTATTTTCGGTTGCAGGAGTCGATTACAATCATTTTTGGTGAATAGACATACCCCCGAAATCTTACCCGCTTTCTAGAAAAAAATTCGAGAAGGTGTGAAATTTTTCGACAGAAAAAAAAAATTTCAAATCGTTCTGGAAAAATTATTTTCAGTTGTGTGGGTCAATTACAATCATTTTTGGCCATTACACATACCCCCGAAATCCTACACCACTTTCCAGAAAAAAATTCCTTACCGAAAATCTAATTAGGTGCCTAAATCAATGAAAAAAAGAAATTTCAAATCGATCTAGAAAAATTATTTTCGGTTGCAGGGGTCAATTACAATAATTTTTGGTGAATAGACATACCCCCGAAATCCTGCGCATTTTCGAGAAAAAAACTCAGTACGAGCGGAACTTTAAACGTTAATAACTTTTTAACAAAGCCTCCATCAACAAATTGGTATTCTTGATTTTTGTCTTATTTTGGCCTCTAGAATCCTCCATTAAAATTTTTCCAAGGGGTGGCCAAACACCCTCTGTATATCTTTGTAATATCGAAAATATTAAAAAAAAAAGAACACAAATATCCAATGACGATTCACTAGTTACATCACATAACAATAATAATATACTTTACACTAAAAAAAATATTGTTTCCCCGATTTTAAAGACACTTTGTAAATAAGTTCTCCAGTCACTGATACTATTATCCAGTTTCCAAGTAGGTCCATTGCATCTGTTAACTTATGTTAACCACATGTTTCTTGTTAACTTTGAATTGTATCCTAAGGGGGGTCCAAGTGTATTTACTTCGATCGTTAAATTACGTCTAGCTTGTGTCTCTTGAAAAGTTTCGTCCCCGAATTGTGTTCTCCACGGGTTCGACACTGAATCTGGTTCGATTATTCGCTCGCGTATTTGTGCAAATTTGTGAATCTCTCGAGTCCAAGTTCGCCACTAATTCGAGTACCAATTCTTGTTCCATTAGACCACCCTCTCTTGTGTTCTACGCGTACAAACGCCGAGTTTGTATCTATCGTGAATGTTAATCTATGATTTCTATCAGAATATAAACCTTTTGTTTTGTTTGCAACGTCATTAATTTTATTTTGACGATATTTAATAGAATACGTAAGATACTATGTTTATGAATTTATTCAGTTTCGATGTATTTCTCTCTTGAAGTTTCCAAAACGTTAACAGACGCTTTTTAAAAGAATATTTAACCATATTTGGGGAGTGAAAACAACCCTCAACGTTGGAGATGAAAGATATATTTTCCTCGCGATATCTTGCACACTATACCATATAAAAAAGAGTCGTATTATACATATAGAGATCTACAAGTTCGGGATTATCATTACAAAGGTCACGATCCAAAATACTTGGCTCAATAGCTCAAACTCTCCATGAAGACCCTTGGCATTCTATTCATCGCGGACACCATTCAGGAAAGAAGTAATAAATATTATCTGAAATTAAATTCTCACGCAAAAATTCCTTTGTACAGTCGTGGACCAGGATGTCGAAGACTGAAAAGACTTCGAGCGATCTCAAACGATGTTTAAGAGGGTTCCAAATCGTCAAATTATTTTAAAGAAACTCCCCTTTTGATTGCTGATGTCATTTCCAATAAAAGAAAAAATATATGTATCTCCTTGTATTTCTTTTGAATTTAGTCAAGTTTCCAATGCGTTGAAATATTTTAAACATTCTGAAAAAACTAACATTTCGAGTATTTACGTAATGCAAGTAAAAGATGAACTTTTGTTTAAAGTGAAATAGTTTCAATAGTTTAGCGTGACTTGAACTAAGGGACCTTGAACGGCCGCCATCTTTTATTCGTTCTAATAAAAATGGGGAAGAAACGAAGGAGGAGAGATATACAACCCCGTGCTTGATTTGCTGCTGAATTCATCAGCGAGGAATCCGAGAGATCCAAGTTTCCGGGCATAGAAACATTCGATGCGAGGGATCTGCTCGAAGCAATCAATGACCGAAGAGCATTCGGGGATAGGGATTGATGAAAAGTCCTCTGACCAAGCGATCGCTATCACGGACAAAGGAACGAGGCGCCAGAAGTAAATGCAGTCAGCAAAAACCGGAGGCTTTTTGCTGATAAATCAACTTCCTGGACCTTGGCTTTCCGATTGGCTGAAGACGCACCGAGTGGTCCGATTCTCTTAACGTTTCCGAATCAAACTAATTTATTTACTTGCAATTTCCAGTCCTCGCCGGTACTGCAAAAAGACATGCTTCGAAGGAAAGTTTCTTGCAAAAGTATTTCTAGCATTACCGATACTTGGTTTGTTCGGCGATACGAAATATTTCAATTTTTTCTTTCATTCCTATGATCATCAAAATCATAATGTAGCATATAAC